GTCGATGAGACTGTCACAAGTGTTCATTATGGCACTTTAAATCCCCAAATCCAAGATGGAAAACAGATAAAGCCAACTGGCAGGCGTTTCAGAACGCCTTGGCCCACTGTCTGAGATGCAATGGACCCCCACAAAGTGAAAATGTGGAAGTGCTTGAAGCCAGACTTATCAATGCCATAAATCAAGCAGCCTCACTGACCATACTAAAACTCGGCCTGGGTTCATGAGTCACAAAGATGCCTGGTACTTTAATGACAAGATTTAGGAGGTCAACCACAGAGTAAACATGTGCCGAAAACAATTCCAAAGACAAAGAACCCCTGACAACCTAGTCTTCCTAAGGGAGGCTGTCAGGAATGCCAAGGAAACTGCCAACAGAGTCAGGCAGGAAAAGTGGCTGGAATTGTGTGAGTCCTTCGACCACCAAATCACTCAGCCCCGAGGTGCAGACATCATGACCCTCAATCAGAAGCAAACAAAATGACGCACGAGTTCTCTGCGAGAACAAGCAGCAACAGTCTGCCAGCCGAACTGAGGGCAAGACAAGAATGCCTACAACCAGACAGACTTGCTCATGTCAGAGAAAGGGCAGCCGGAACTCGATGACTCAGATGTTATCTTTTCTCTGAGGGAACTATGAAAATCCTACAAAAACAGTTCTAGCACAGCCCCAGGTTCTGATGGGATCTCGTACCCCATCATTTCCTACAAAGGACTAGCAGGTGAGCTTGCACTCTTGCAACTCATGAACAAGTTTTGGGAAATTTCTACTCTACCCCAGAGTTGGAAGAGAGCTACCATAGTTCCCATCCCAAAACCAACATAGCCAGAGAAGTACCGCCCCATCTCTCTCCTCAGCAGTCTGGCTTTTGACTTCTTCCAATTTCTTTTGTAACTTTTCCCTATCTTACTTGATAGATCCTCATTCATCATTCATGCACTGGGGAGCTAACGCTGGCGAGTGCTCATGTCCGCATCCACCCTTCACTTTCACCTATGAGGGTCCCTCATGGCGAGCTGCCAGGCAGAGGCCCGGCCAATCTCTAGATCTTCACGACAGGTTTGATCAATCTACCCAAGCCACGACTTCCTCGGTCGTCCCACCCAGGGTTGTCTCTATATAGCCTGAGTTGGCGTTCGCGGATTTTGCATGTAACAGGTCCTGTACCAGTCTCATGGTGCAACCATAGGTTGGACACATGGTCCCGCCAACTGTGCCCCATGATCCGGCGCAAGGATCTGTTCCAAAATGCAAAATAGCATCCAGGTTTCACTACCGTATAGTAAAACTGGCAGTATCAGGGCCTTGAAGACATGTACCTTGGTCCTTCTGCATAGGCATCGGCATCTCGAAGTACTTTTTCATGACACCTGCTGATTTCATGTCCCCTGCTGTCAGGCCAATCCATCTGCTGACTTCCTGATCTAAATGCCCTGATTTATGAACTGCACTTCCGAGATACATAAAGCTTTCTGTGACCTCGATGTTCTCTCCACAAGCACACACAATTGAACAGGATCTCCTAGCAGGCCCCCAAAATCCTAGATCGTAGGTTTGGTCTAGGAGACCTCTAGCCCCAGGGGCTTCGCTTCATTGCTAAAGGCATCAAGAGCCGCCACAAGGGTTTCCAGAGATTCTGATAGAATGGCAACTTCATCAGTAAAGTCAAGGTCTGTAACCTTGTTATTGCCCAGAGTTGCTCTACAGTGACTTTGGACAGTAACTCTACCCAGTATCCAGTCCATGCAAGCGTTGAAAAGTGTTGGTGCAAGAACACAGTCTTGCCTCACTCCTGAAATAACAGGGAAGAAGCTCAACAGAGCCCCACCACACTTTTTCAGCACTTTCAGTGCCAGTATACAGGCTTGCTGTAAATCCAATAATTCTTGTTGGAATTCCTCCTAGTCTCAGGATCTCCAAGAGTGATTCGCAATGCACAGTATCAAATGCCTTCTTGAGGTCAATGTAAACTGTGAGCAGCCCACATCGGAACTCATGACGGCGCTCTACTATGACTCAAAGCGCCAGGATACGATCTATTGTGGACCTACCAGGAGTGAATCCAGATTGCTCCAGCCTCTGGTGCCTCAGCAGATGGTCTCTGATACGTCTCAGAAGGATGTGCAAGAGTGCATTGCCAGCTATACTGAATAGTGTAATACCTCGGTGATTGCTGCAGTCTCACCAATAGGTTCTCCACCAGCCTTTAACAGTTCAGCTGGGACGCTGCAGACACCTGCTGTTTTACCAGTCTTCAGTTTGGGTCTGGCAAAGGAATCTCGACATTACCCGCATCCAAGTTAATTGATGGTGGATCAAACTAGTACAACTGCTCAAAATATTCAGCCTAATGCACCCGCACCTCATCAGGATTAGATTATCTGGCCACTTGCTGAGTGGACTGCAGTTGTCTGTGAGGAGGGCATGGAATTCAGCTTTCTCACGGCTTGGTAGGCAGGACGAAGGTCATTTACTAGAAAAATGCTTTCGACCTCCTCTGCAAGATTCCTGATAAACTGTTCCTTGTCCCTTCTCAGCAGTGACCTAGTCCTGTGCACCAGGACTAGGTTCATTGGAGCAATGGGGGATTGTAAAGTGGACCTGGAGAATAGTCACAACTAATCTATGATCAGTTCCACAAAATTCAGCGCTCCGATACACCCTGTATTTCTGGAGGATCCTCCATTGAGTGCTGACAAGGATGTGGTAGATCTCCTTGTTCACTTTACCTGTATTGCTTACCAAGTCCAATGATGCAGGTCAGAGAGCTGATACCAGGAGCCAGAAATCCTCAATTTCTGGGACCTATTACTGTCAGTATCAGCTCCTGAGCCATGAGGACCGACAGACATCTCATAGCCAGCTTGGTCGCAGCCAGATATTGCATTGAAGTCATCCAAAACAATACGAATGTCTCGCCGAGGACAGCTGTCTGTTACAGATACATGTTTGGCGTAAAGCAACTCTTTCACATCAAGTTTATATACATCCGTAGGAACATACACAGCAATAGGAGACATGAAGCCACATGTAAGCTTGTCTCAGTATATGCTCATCGACTGGAGTGACCTCTACTACCGAGGGTTGAAGTCTGCTGGAGATGGCTATGGCTACTCCATGATGGTGGCCATCTCTAATAAGTGTAGCCACCCACACTAATCGTGCCACTGCCAGGTCTTCTCACCTCTGAGAGAGCAGCCACCTCAACTCTCAGCTGCTTCAATTTCCTCGACAGTAGTGGTAACCAATCATCCTGTCACAAGGATCAAGGACATTCCAAGCCTCCACCCTGATAGCCCGCCTGAGGTCTAATCTCGGGCAGTCACTCCGGGTGGACCCACCACCTATGCCACCCCCACCAACGCTGGCCCATATAGAGAGGGTTGGCTGGCTGCAACCCAGCGAGACCCACAGCCTGCCTTACTTGCTGGGTAAGTGGGACATTAGCCCTCCCCCCAGCACCAACATTATCCTGGGGAAGCGGACTGGCAAGGCCTGCCTCCCCACAGCCGCCCATTAACCCTTGGAGGTACGGGGGCAGGAATTAGTATGAAGCCAGGGTGTGTCCACATCCAGGTGGGCCATGACTTTGTACCTTTAGGGACTCTTGTTACTCCAAGAGCCTCTACAATTCAGCTTAGGACCGCAAGGTACCTAGTTTCCATGGGTGGCCACGTGGAGGCACTGCAAAAGTCTTGATGATGGAGAGGCTATGAGCTGGTAGGGGAGTCTTATGCATAACTCTATTACCTAAATTTTAGCATTCCCTATATTAAGTTAGCTTTTTGGCTTTCATACATCAGTTACCATTTGTTTTGTCCAGAATATCACTTTCAATAAGCGTTTAAAAGTTATCTTCTTTATCATGCTTGCTGTCTGAGTTGTCTGATGGCTATTCGGTTTTACAATCTGCCATTTTGTTTTCAATTTTTGTTAGCACTTTCGCTACTTTATTTTCAAATTTCTATTCTTTAACATGTTTTAATTTTTGCTTAAACCATCTTCTTGTCTAGATGCTGTAACATTGTTTCCCAGAATGTTCCTTCAGCTTCTCATTTGTTTTATTTTAAATATATATATATATGTAAATATATATATATATATATTTATATATATATACATATCTATACACACACACACACACACACATATATATATATATATATATATATATATATATATATATATATATATATATATATATATATATATATATATATATATATATTTTTTTTTTTTTTTTTTTTTTTTTTTTTTTTTTTTCTGTAATTTAGCTGAATGTTTGCAAGTTCAGGCTATCTTTTCATCAAAACAAAAAGTACTGCTTTATTTTGTATGTGACCATATGCCATGTTTTCTTTATGCTTATCTTCCTCATAATTTTCTTATATGCAACTTGTGTGTGTGTGTGTGTGTGTGTGTGTGTGTGTGTGTGTGTGTGTGTGTGTGTGTGTGTGTGTGTGTGTGTGTGTGTGTGTGTGTGTGTGTGTATATATATATATATATACATATATCAAAAGAATGCTTGCTCAACGACTTTTGTTTCGATGCATCTTGTGACCAGGCCTCTAGTTCTGCGAAAATAATCTTTGAAAATAAACTTTTTACTTTAATTTCAATTATTTTACTTTTTCATATATATTTACTTAACTATAGAAATTAACCTAGTTAGTGCTATAAAACAATCAATTCTCAGCAACTTTTAATGAGTGGTGTTTTTTTTTTATAATATGAATTTTAAGAGAATTCCAGTGGAGCGACCGTTTTCTAATATGGCAGTTAACCCAAGCGCAGGAGGCTATGGGACTTTTGATTTGTTATTCAGGTCACACATCTTTACATTTGTACCTAGTTTCAGCTGTTATCTATCTACTTGCACTAAAACCCTATATTTTTTCCCTAATGCTCCTAGGCATTTGAGGAACGGATAATCTCAAATGAATTTCCGTGTTAAATTAATAAGTACACTTAAAAAATATAAGGATTTAAATACAATATC